CGGGCTTCCTGCATGTCAGAACACTGAGCGTGGCCTCTGACCGTTTGTAGGATTTGTTCAAGTTATCAGAAATATGCAAACAGATGTAGTACGAAGATGTTTATCATAGTGTTAATTATAACGAGAGTCCGTAGATTATAAAGCTCTGGGTTCTCTTAGCTACTTAAAATCATACCCTGGATTCTTGAGTATTCTTTTGGTGAGTGCTGAGCAAGAACGGTGACGGGAACGTTCTGTTTGCTGTCGGAACAGTACTACTGAGCACTTCGTGGGACCGAGAAACTAAATTGTGATTTATTTAAGCTTGATGAACTTCAGCCATGTGTGGCTAGCAGCTACCGTGCTGGCAAGTGCAACTCTGGCGTCTAGAATGGGGTGGGGGGCCAACTTTTCCTGTAAAGGACCGTACGGTCGGTGTGTCCGATGTGGGACCACATGTGTGTGTCACAGCGGTTTTGCCTGCTGGGGTGACGTCCCCACGGCCCTGGACAACAGTAACTGAGCAGGCATGGCTGCATCCCACTGCCACTTGATTCCCAGAAACAGGCGGCAAGCCAGATGTGGCTTCAGAATATTGTCATTTCCACTCCATTACGTAACACAGAACAGTGGGCTTTAGAACACACACGTAGTGAGGCCCTGTGTTTCTTTGCAGTTACCGGGTTGGCCCTCATGTCCCCAGGCTTGTGCCAGCAGCCGCCCTGTTTCATGTCCCCTCATCCAACAGACTTGCCACGGTGGATATGCCATCAGGAGCATAGTATCGTTTGCTTGTTCGTTAACAAGCGCATGTAAACAGCCAACATAGAATCATTGGAACTAATTTTCTAACATAGCATAAAAATAGAAAAGTAACAGGGAAAAAAATGAAAATGGGGTCTCATGGTAAAACTGGTGCTTACTAAAACACCCTCTAAACTCTGACCTGTCATGATATCATCTTTAGAGTTTTTTAATTAAGAATTTCTTACCAAGTTTTTATTTTAATTCCGGTGAGTTAACATACAGTGTTCTTTTAGATTCAGTGTATAATAGAGTGACTCCACACTTGCCTGCGTCACCCAGTGCTCATCATCAAATGCACTCCTTAATCCCCGTCGGAGGCAGTCACCCGTCCCCCCTCCTACCTCCCTTCTGGTCACCGTCACTTTGTTCTCTAGAGTTAAGAGTCTGGCTGAATAATATTCTAGTGTGTGTGTGTGCAAGTGTGTGTGTATACATTGCATCTTCTTTGTCCATTCATCAGTCAGTGGACACTTGGGCTGCTTCCATAGTTTGGCTATTGTAGATAATGCTGCTATAAACATAGGGGTGCACGTCTCCCTTTGAATTAGTATTTTTGTGGGGTTTCTTGGTAAATACCTAGTAGTGCAATTGGTGGATCGTAGGGTATTTCTATTTTTAATTTTTGAGGAACCTCCATACTGTTCGCAGTTTTCATTCCCAGCAACAGTGCATGGGGGTTCCTTTTTCTCCGTATCCTCGCTGATAGCCACTGTTGCTTGTGTTGTTGATTTTAGCTATTCTGACAGATGTGAGGTGGTACCTCATCATGGTTTTGATTTGCGTTTCCCTGATGATGAGTGATGTTGAGCATCTTTTCATGTATCTGTTGGCCATCTGGTTGTCTTCTTTGGAGAAGTGTGTTCATCTCCTCTGTCCATTTTCTTATTGGATTATTTACTTCTTGGGTGTTCAGTTGTATCAGTTCTTTATGTATTTTGGATACTAACCCTTTATCAGAAATGTGATTTGAAAATATCTTCTCCCATTCAGTAGGTTGCCTTCTAGTTTTGTTGATTGATTTCTTGGCCGTGCAGAAGCTTTCTATTTTGGGGCACCCAGGTGGCTCAGTTGGTTAAGTGTCTGCCTTTGGCTCAGGTCATGATCCCAGGGTCGTGGGATCAAGCCCGACATTGGGCTCCCTGCTTGGCAGGGAGCCTGCTTCTCCCTCTCCCTCCTCCTGCTGCTGCCCCTGCTTGTGCTCTCTCTCTCTCTGTCAAATAAATAAAATCTTTAAAAAAAAAAAGAAGAAGAAGCTTTCTATTTTGATGGAGTCCCAGTAGTCTATTTTTGCTTTTGTTTCCCTTGCCTCAGGAGACAGATCTAGAAACATGTTGCTGCAGCCATTGTCAGAGACATTACTGCCTGTGTCTTCCTCTAGGATTTTTATGGTTTCAGGTCTCACGTTTAGGTCTTTCATCCATTTTCAGTGTATTTTTGTGGATGGTGTAATAAACTGGTCCAGTTCCATTCTTCTTAATGTTGCTGTCCAGTTTTCCCAACACCATTTGTTGAAGAGACTGTCCTTTCCCCATTGGCTCTTCTTTCCTGTTTTGTCAAAGATGAATTGACCATAGAGTTGTGGGTTCATTTCTGGCTTTTCTGTTCATCTCTGTGTCTGTTTTTGTGCCAGTACTATAGAGTTTTTGATGACTACAGCTTTGTAATATAACTCAAACTGTAGAATTGAGATGCTTCCAGCTTTGCTTTTCTTTTTCAAAGTTGCTTTGGCTATTCGGGGTCTTCTGTGGTTCCATACACATTTTAGGATTGTTTGTTCTAGTTCTGTGAAAAACGTTCTTGGTATTTTGATAGGGATTGCATTAAATGTGTATTTTACTTTGGGAAGCATAGACATTTTAACAATATTCGTTCTTCCAATCCACGAGCATGGAATATCTTTCCATTTCCTTGTCTTCTTCAATTTCTTTCATCTGTGCTTTCTAGTTTTCAGAGTATGGGTCTTTCACGTCTTTGGTTAGGTTTATTCCTAGGTATTTTATTATTTTTGGTGAGATTGTAAATGGGATTGCTTTCTTCATTTCTCTTTCTGCTGTTTCATTATCAGTGGACAGAAATGCAACAGGTTTCTGTACCTCGATTTTGTATTCTGTGAGTTTACTGAATTGGTGTATCAGTTGTAGTTTTCTGGGGGGAGTCTTCCGGGTTTCCTACATAGAGTATCATGTCATGTGGGAATCGTGAAAGTTTCACCTCTTCCTTACAATTTGGATGCCTTTCATTTGAGGCTAGGACTTCTGGTACTGTGTTGAAGAACAGTGGGGAGAGTGGACCTCCTTGTCTTGTGCCTGACCTTAGAGGAAAAGCTCTCCATTTTTCCCCATTGAGTATGATGTTAGCTGTGGTTTTTTCATGGATGGCCTTGATTATGTTGCGGTATGTTCCCTCCAACCCTACTTTGTTGAGGGTTTTTACCATGAATGGATGTTGTACTTTGTCAGATGCTTTTTCTGCATCTATTGAGAGGATCATATGGTTCTTGTCTTTTCACTTGTTGGTGTGATGTATCATGTTGATTGATTTGCAAATACTGAACCACCCTTGCAGCCCAGGAGTAAATCCCATTTGTCCATGGTCAATGAGGTTTTGTGTTTTTGTTGTTTTTTGTTTGTGTTTGTTTTGTTTTGTTTTTTAGAATAGGAGGATGGGGGGTGGTAACGGAGGAGCAGAGGGAGAAGGAGAGAATCTTCAGCAGGTTCCATGTCTAGGGCAGAGGCCAATGCGGGGCTCAAACTCATGACCCTGAGATCATGACTTGAGTCAAAATCAGGAGTCGTCCCATCAACCGACTGAGCCACCCAGGCACCCCCATGAGTGTTTTTAATATATTGTTGGATTCGGTTTGCTAGTATTTGTTGAAGATTTTTGCATCCAGTTTCATCAGGCATACTGGCCTGTAGTTCTCTTTTTTTGTGTGTGGAGTCTTTCTCTGGTTTTGGGATCAGGGTAATGCTTGCCTCATGAAAGTTTTCCTTCCGTTTCTATTTTTGGAATAGTTTGAGAACTCAGTTTTGATTTTTGAAGATCAAACCTTTTTTTGTAGAAATTGACAAACATTCTAAAATCACCTGGAAATGCAGAGGACCTAGGGCCGCCAGAACTTTGACAATGAAGAGCAAAGATGAAAGGCTAACACTTCCTTTTTCAGAGTAACCCGTGGAGCGAGAGCACAGGACTCCAGTCCATGTGGGGCTGGCGTACAGAAGGCAGTGGGAGGGAGGTCAAACATTCAGAAGCAGATGCCCACGTCTGTGGACAGCTGATCTTGGACAGGCTCCGTGACAGTTCAGTGGAGAAAGGATGGTCTTTCAACACTGATCACTAAAAATAAATAAATTTCAAAAACAATCCAATTTCTTAGTGGGCAGAAAGGTTTTTTAGGGCACCTCGCCAACAGATATAAATGAGCACATCAGGAAGTGAGTGTGAAGCCAGATAAGCGCCACACAGCTTCTCAGTGGCTTTCACTGAGGACGGGCCACCCAGGCACGGTTGACGACATGGAGGAGCTGAGCCCCTGCCCAGGTGGTGAAGACAGGAAACAGGGCATCCACTTTGGAAAACCGCTTGGCAGTTTCTTCAATCAAATGCTGCCTCCTGTGGAACCTAGTGGACGCAGCCTCGGGCACTAACCCTCAGGAGTAGCCATGCCCACACAGGCTTGCGTGCGGTGCTCGTCGCAGATTTTTTGGCAACAGCCCAGCCCGGGAAGCAGCCTAAGGTCCATCAGCAGGTGACAGGCAGAGGGATGAAGGCACAGTACCACGCGGATGGCCCAGGGATCACTGTGCGGGAAAGGCAGCTGGGCAAACTCGAGTGTGAGCCTCAGTTCTGCCCAGAGACGGTCCATCTGTAGTGACGGGAAGCAGAGTGTGGTTGTCTGGGCGGGCAGGGAGTCCTGGGGTTGCTGCAGAGGCACAGGAAGCTTTGGGGTGATGGGTGCATCTGCGTCCTGATTACAGTGTTGGTTCAAGGTGTGTCCGTGTGTCAAAACTTATCAAATTAGGCACACTTGGTGTATTTTATTGTGTGTCACACATCAGTTTCTGACACAAATTTTAAGCTAAATGAGGACATTGTGGCTTCATTTCTGGCCTCAGAGTGTCCCTTAAACGAGGGACATGTGATGAATCCACTTCCCCAGGATTCGTGGAGGTTTTATTTGTGAATTTCCGGCTTCTTCTCTCTGCCTCCAGAGACTCGCCCCGTGTTGGGCTGCCGGGAGCTCGTCTTCAGAAACCTGTCCAAGATCCTTCCCGCCGTGTGTCACGACCTCACCGACTGGGTGGTGGGGACCAGGCTGAAGGCCGCGCAGCTGCTGCTGGTGCTGCTGTTGCACGCCGAAGACCACAGCACGCAGCACCTGGACACCGTCCTCAGGGTACTGCACCGCGCCTGCGCCGACGACGACCCGGCCGTGGTCCGCAGCGTGAGTTGCCTTTCCCTGGTCACGTTGGTTGCGCTGTAGCTTACGGGTCGTAGAGGTCACCCGTGTCCGCTCGTGGGTCTGCAGGTTCGCATAAGTGTGAGCAGCCGTGGAACTGCCTTCACAGCTGAGGTAATGTTCACGTCGCCCTGAGAGCCCCCTGGGTCTTGGCATCAGCTGTCCCCCTCCCCCCCAGCCCCCGCCCCCAGATCTGTCTCCTGTACCCGCGGAGGGCGGCACGTAAAGGTTACTCTTCAGGGGATCGAGCCCCCGCTCCTCACGCCTTCTCTCTCAGCTCGAGCAGGTGGGTTGGGCAGGGCGCCAGCGCGCTTCTGACAGTCCCTGTGAGCCTCGCTGGGGCAGGCAGGGCACCGCCCTGGCTCTGACGGCGCGGCACTCGTGTGCCCACGGGCTCTGCAGGGAAAGCCAGGCAGGGGCTCCCGGCCCCAATGTGACAGCAGGTGTCTCCTTGCCAGTTCTCGCTGCCGCCCACCAGCTGGCCGGTGGTTAGTGCCACCACCTGCGTGGATAGAAGCAGATGAGCCTCAGGTTTGCTTCCCCTGTCCTGTCTGCCCCAGGAGCTTGGCCACTGGACGCCTTTGCTGAGCAATGGGCCACGTGGACCTCACTTTGGATGTGCATGGCATGCTCACACCTGCCCAGAGGATGCGTCGTGGGGCCCATGACGGTGGCCTGGCACACTGGGGAACGTCCCCATATTATATTATTAGGGAACGTTGTATAACTGGAATCACGCAGTGAGTGTCCTTTAGAGATTGGCTAATGCCCGAGGCCCACTGTTCTGACTGTCGAGTGGTGCCCACTGCGTGGAGATGCCAGCGTGTGGCCATTTGCTCATAACAAGTTTAGGTCATTGGCAGCAGATGAGGGGCGTGAGGCCCTGTTAGGACTTGGCCCTCCTGGGAACCAGCCCCCTGAGGAAACTCTAGGGCCGTGGGGGCTTCCTGTTGCGCACACGCTGGGCAGACCTTCACTCAGGGCTATGCGCTGGGCTGCGAGCGCGGCAGGCAGATGCAGGAGTGCCGAGGGTCGTGTGGTGGGCCCTCCAGCGCTGGGGCAACCCATCAGCCTCCTGCCTTCTCTCGCAGTGCACCAGATCTGCAGAGCTGGTTGGGGTGTTCGTCAGCCCAGAAGTGTTTCTGAAGCTGATCTTGTCCACGCTGAAGAAGTCGCCCTCCCCCTCTGGCCTCCTGGTCCTTGCTTCCGTCATCCGAGGCTGCCCTAGGGAGGCCCTCCAGCCACACCTGAAGGTCATCGCCGTAGAGCTGGCCCGGCCCCACATCTGTCAAGGGTCTGAAAACGTAAGCTGTGGGAAGAGTGGAAGGCGGAGCACATCATGAGGTTAACCCTTCGTGCAGGGGAGGTGGGCGGCACCCCCTGCCCACGGCTTTCTACACATACCTGTTGATCACTATTAGTAGATCCCCACAGGCCCATTGGAGGTTTCCACCCAAAAGTACCGTCATTGACACCATCTTGTCTGGAGACCGGCGTGCCTCCTGCTCTGTCCAGTTGGTGGGCATTCACGTTGAAACTAAACACATGGAAAGGGCAGGTCCTGCCTCACGCTGGCTGCCTACCACGTGGCCAGTGGCCACTGTGTGGAACAGTATGGGATAGGGCAGGTCCATGCTGGGGACGGGCTGTGGGGCCACAGCGCTGGGGCTCACGCGGTCCGCACCCTTCCTGCCACGACTGTCAGTCCTCAGCCCGTCACCACCACAAGCTGGTTCTTTGCTCGTGTCCCTCGGCATTGTCATAATGTGCTCAGAACAAGCAAGCTGAGCTTGCTGAGCTCGGCTGGGAAGTGGGTATGGAAATCCACACGTGCCTACGAGGTATTCGCTTTATTATACCTCGAAGCAGTCTGGGTAGCCAGACTTCGTCATTTGGAATAATTTATAATTGTCTGCTATTGAGAGAAAAAATAAGGACTTTGTTTTTGTTTGGCTGTGACAGGCTTAAACCCTGTAACCTTAGCACTGGGTGTGGCCCTCCCGCTCCTCTGTAGGGAACGGGGGTCTGCGCCAGCCCCTTGTCTGTCCCCCGTGGTGCAGGCTCAAGGCCCCGCAGCCGCTGCTGGGCCATGACTGACCCGGGGCTGGGGGACCAGCTACGTCTCCGGGCACGGCCAGCTGCATCGACTCATCTGGTCCTTCTCTGGCTTTGGGTGGCACAGTGGTCCCATTACGGTTGCAAACCCACCGTGAAGGCCGCTCAAAGCACGGCAGGTGGGAAGTGGGGCTGAGGTATCAGGGAGGGAGTGTCGGTGAACCGTTCTGCCTGCTCTTGGTGCTTTTAACAGATTTCACCTTTTCCCAAACCCGTTTTTAACGTCATCATCAAACCATGTGAATTCTGCATTTTTACTCAGGGTGGCCTGGAAATGATTCTGATCCCTCTACATAGATTTGTGAGCCAGAAGCTTTCTTTTTCCTAAAAGGCTAAATTTGAAATTTTGCAAACATGCTTAAATACAGATCTTACAAGTTTTATAGGCAAGGAAATATAATTTTCATGTCTTAGCATTATTTATAGGAAAATTTAATCCCTTAATCCACAGAGTTCAGATTATGCCTTTGGCTCCTCATCTTCCAGTTTTTTTAAGGAAGAATTTCTGTAATGATTCGTTTTGTTTTGTTTTATTTTGTTTTTTTTAAGTAGGCTCCGCGCCCAGCGCGGAGCCCAACGCAGGGCTTGATCTCATGACCCTGAGGTCATGACCTGAGTGAGCTGAGATCAAGAGTTGGTCGCTCAACTGACTGAGCCACCCAGGCGTCCCTGTAGTGATGTTTTAAACAGAGCGTGATCACACCTAGTGTCTTCCCCGATGTGTTCCAGGCTCAGGCTGAGGAACCAGCCACAGTGAAAACCCAAGATGCGAATTCTGCCCCTTTCCTCACAGACTCACGTTTAGCAAAGGGGATGAACACTCAGGTTTAGGCAAAGGCACCAGACGCAGCCCTGTTCTCCCTGGGGCAGGAGAGTCTGGTGCAGCCGTGGTGACATGGGAAGCAGTGCAAGCTTCCTGCAGTCCTTCCCCAGGAGCTGGGAGGACCGGCTGCGGACGTCTTTCAAGAACACACTGAGGTGTAGAAACTCCCTGTCAGCCAGACAGAGGAGCCCCGAGGGCACTGCTGGGCCGCTCCTTGCGGGGCCTCCTGTGCTGCAGGGTGGGGTCGAGGCAGGTGCCTCCCCAGGTGTGTCTGGCCAGGGCTGCACCTGGGACTGAGCTGAGGGAATTGGATCCTTTCCTTTGTAATGTTTGTTTTGTGACAGGTAACTGAGCTGAGGAAATAGTTTGATACCGTACGAATAGCTCATTTATTCCTGCTTAACGAGCAAAAACCAGGAGAGCAAGGGCACGGTCGTCATAGAAATGTCAGCCTCTAGCACTTTCTCCCGTAAAGTTTTGACAACCTCAGATGACACTGAGTTTCAGGAGCAGAAACTAAGACATCACTTTGGAACCTGTCGCCTCCCCCCTGCCTTTGTCTCCCTCTGGGGTGCAGGTGAAGGGAATATTCTCTGCTTAAGTGGGAAGAATTCCATGAACGCTGAGACCCGGTTTCCCAGAGACGGTGCCGCACTCCCCGCAGGAGGGGACGTCTGTGAAAGCATGAGGCTCCTCACTGGCTCTGGGTCCGGCGCACCCCACGACCGCCAGCCCAGACAGCCCGCCCACGCTAATAGTGGCTCACGTCTCAGGAGCTGAATCCCTTCCTAACAAAGTGATTCCTCCATAAGCGTTTAGTATAGGCCATTCTAGAGATGAACTGAAATCACGTCCTTAGAAACTGGGTGGCTGCCCGTCCAGGTCTAGAAGAAATCGGGCCATGGGACACGTGAGAATGTGAATTAAACACTGGCCTGGCTTCCCCAGGGGAGCTGGACACCATCGCTCGAGGCTACCTCCCGTGCTGCACGTGAGCGGTCGGGCATGTGTGGGCCACACTCCTCTGTGATCCAGCATGAATTCTTTGTTTGAAGTCCTGCGATTTATGTCACTTGTGCATGAGCCACAGAAGTCCAGAACCGCAGGGCGCCTGGGTGGCT